GACATACTTAGTTAAAATATCAAAAATTTTATGACATAAACAATTACAGAAAAATTTTATGAATGAACTTTTTATATTATATGTATGCATGGAGAGAAAAAGAAATTCAATTAGAATATGATTTGAGAAAGAAAAAATAACGCTTATTTACTTACAATAATTAATAGAAAAATACTTCATTAATTAGAAAAAAAATAAACCAATTTTTTGAGTATGATTTTAGGATTGCTTACACTACACCCAATAACAGCTTCATCAACTCAATCAACACATTAGTTATAGGTCACAGTTGAAGTAATTAACTATTGACACTCGCTCAAAGTTTTCGAGAGCCACACTAAAGATATTTATCCACATATAGCTACTAGAGCCTTATCCACTTTTTGAACCCTATGAATATAGGATTGAAAAGACTTTTTTTTTACTTGCCATTTTTACTATTCATAGAGAGTAATGTACTTCCAAACTCTCTTCTCCTTGTTCGCCCATTTCGCCTCTCCATTTCCTTAGCATTCATATTACACTTGCAAGTTAGTTCAAGATGTCGCCCATGAGCAAATTTAGATCTAACAACGTTCTCAGGTTCAACCAAACTATGCACGAACTTTGAATATGTATTTTCAAATAAAAATATAAAATGGTCTAACGTAGCCCAACCCAATCTTGCTAGACCTAATATACAAGCTATTTATCTTTCTCAAATCATAGTCTAAACATTCATATTGACCAAGTTAGCAGAAAAATGAAAATATTCAGCCAAACTTGCTAGACCTAATAATTCTAAACATTTCTAAATCAGCCTAACATAGGATTTTTTTTGGGACGGTGGTAGCTCTTTTTAAAGATATATGATTGTAAAGTTTTCATGAGAAAAGTTACTTTTTTTTTGAAAGTTGCTGTAAAAAATAGCTTTCCGGTAAGAAAATTTCTAAAAAGCAATGACAAAATAATAGCCAAAAGAAAGCGGCTTGAAAAAACAAAGTATGAAGAAAAATGTCTCAAACAAATCCTTAAAAATGATTAGATTTGGGATGTTTTCTATTGCCCGATCGATAAGTTTAACAAAGCTCAAAACACCATATGATCCAATTTGCATGGCTCAAATTAGTGGTGTGCATTTCATTTTTTTATTTTTTATCAACTTTTATTTGGAACCAACCTAAAGTTTAAAACTACAAATAAAAAATCAAATCATTAAAATATGAAACTAAATAAAACCAATAAGATCTCTTTAGTACCAATTTAATGTTCAATTAAAGTAACTCATAATCTCATGTCTTTGATATCCAAACAATAAATGATGGACAAATATTTTCTATTTATTACCAGCATCTCCAACCGAAATTCTCATTTTTCACTGCAAAATGCAGTAAAATCAAAAAGTGCCGTGATTCATCTCCAGTGGAACGCCTTTTTGCCTCCAAATCATCGCTCGTTTCTTTCGCGCATTTCTCAGACGAGTTCATTAGAGAGAAAGAAATGGCGCAAGTGAACAGTGCGACACCAATATTGACGTTGCACTGTTCAACTGCGATCAGATGGCAGAAGAAATGACGTTCGGTTGCGACGTTTGAGGGCCTCCATTGTCATCACTAAATCAAATTCTAAAACAAACAAAATATGTGAACACTGATGGATGATTGGGATATGTTTATGTTGATGGATGATTAAAAAAATTATTAAGTGCCATGAAAACTATTACTTTTTACCAAACTAATTTGATTAAGTTTATTTTATTTTGACAAAAGATAAAAATCTATAAGATATAAATTATCTATATATAATTGGTGATACGTCTTCAAAAAGTTCACTTGATCAATACGTTCCTTAATGTAATTGTTACGTCTTGGAATATTTGCGGAGATAGAAAAATATAAAATTTAACGTCTTAATTTCATACGAAGAACCAACATACAATCAGATAAAAAAGATAGTGTAATGTTCATAAAAGACACCATATTTTTTTACGTGAAAACATCTCTATAAGAATCGCTATATATATTTAAAACAGATTAAATGAGGAAGAACTAACGTTTGATCTTCTCTTTGTGATTTATAATATAGGAGGCTAGGAGCCAAGTTTTGCACGCTAATGCTTCTATGATCAACTCTTGCTCGCACCTTCCTGCAAGGCATTATTGCTTGTTTTCTTTGACCACGTTAGTGCTGCACCACATGCAATTAAATAATAATAATAATAATAATAATGTTAGTTGAAATTAGAACTAATGAAATAAAAAATTTAGTCGTAGGGTGAGATCAAAGTTGAAACTGAGAGAGACTGTTTGGGATAGCTTTTTCATTGTTTTATTTTTAGATAGCAATCATACTTTTATGACTACTTTTTTTTTTTGTTATTTTTTCACTACTTTTTTAAAAAAGTTTTAATGAAAAACAATTTTTTTTGCGGCCAATGATTAAGGTTTATTTGAGATTATTTTCTTACTGCTTCTTAAAATAAATTTTTAATACAAAAATTAAAAAAATTGTACTAAAAAATTGCTTTAAGAAGAAGTAAGAAAGTTTTTTTTTTTGAAATAAACATTAATAAAACTGAATATATTTATATATTTAATAACTAAAATTTTATATTTATTTTAATAATAAATTAATTTGTAAATCATATTAAAATATCATTTGTGTTAACTTATTTGAATTAAAATATATATTTTTATACATATTTAAATATAATTTTGATACTGAGAAATTATATAAATAAATATAAAATTTTAGTTGTTAGATATATAAAAATATAAGAATTGTATGATATATATCTAAATCTTTTTTAAAAGAAAATTTAGCTATCTTTGCTTAATAATATATATAATTGGGCAAATGTTCTCATTATTTATTTTCTTTAAGAAATATGTAAGAGAAAAAAAAAAACGATTGTGTTGAATTCATAATTGTAAGTGAATCGCATCAGATTTTGATACAAGTACTAAATGAAAATAAGAAGAAGAAATGGAGAAATAAAAAATTATAGGGTTAAAAGCTATGAGATTTTATTGAAAAAGGCTTAAGTACAAAAAATTGCATAAATTTAGCTCACTTGCTAACCCCTTATTTTTACATTTAAATTGAATCTTGAGAATTATAGAATTTATTATATATGTGGCTATAAAAATTTAAAAAAAGTCAAGTTGTGTAGCCTAATTTCTCATATTAAAATATGGTTGCTAAGTTACTAGAATCTCTGACTTAAGGAAGTCTTTTACCTAGCTAATAAGTCTTTCGATCACTAGTTTCCCAAAAGAAGGAGTTTGCCACTGGAAGATATGATATAGCCGACTTAATAAGTCATACTCACATGATGAGGGCAAAGTCATAAGTTGTAGTCACCTACTCGGGATACATTCATTTGTAGACTTGACAATTTCCTTTTGATTTACAACATAATTGACATAACTTGAATTTGATTAACTTGGCTTGAATTTGATTTTTTAGACAATTCGTTGTACATATGTAGCTATCCCCTAATGAATTCACAAATTTCTTATTGAAATGAATTTTGAATAAAATTAGTTTGAACTAGCTCAATTTTATTTCATACCTCATTTAGGCTAGGTTTCAATCTAGCTTAAATCTAGCTCAAACCAACATTTGAACCTTAGTTCAAACCTTCATCCTTTCTCAACCTTCAGTATTCATTGTTCTTACCGTAATGATTCAATCCTAGAAACACCTTCATGTAGGTAACTTGTGTGTGAATGAATATTCTCCTTCACACATTGCTAGTTCTATGTTATCTTCCCCAACAAGGGCCATCACACTCCTAAAAGTTTCATGGTACCTTACATGGAGAAGTCTAACCATGCACTCATATTCTCATTCACACTCCATGTTCAAATAAATTTCATTCACATGAAACTTAAATAAGTAGCTCGAAAACATAACAGGGACAATGTCATCCGAAATGAACTTTCAAATATATTTCTTCAAGAAAATGAACAAAAATTATAGATCAATAATCCCTATCTCTATATATCATGTGAACTGTTACATGAAACATTATCATATGAATCAATTACTATTGTGCAAACTTGATTTTTTAGATAATGGGTTGTATATAATAATATAATATTATTTTTCTTATCAATACACAATGTCTATGTTCTATCAACATCATTGCTAGTCATTGTATCGTGGTGTATGCATTTTGTTGATGATATTCTTCTTATTGATAAGACTAGAGAGGGATTTAAGTGTTTGCAAAGTAAATTGTATGCATTTTGTCGCCGATGTTCGCCTCTAGTAGTTTTTTAATGCATTTTGTTGGTCATTAAATAAGAATTATAACATTAAGTTAAGTGTTTTCAGAGATGAGAATGCTCATGAGTGAGAGAGTTGCCTTAGATGGTTTCCTTACATAAAATGGTGGCCTCCCGATGAGAGGTATTAGATTTGGCTTATGTTAAGAAAGGTGTTGAGGTATTAGATTTGGCTTATGTCAGTAAATCTATCATAATATCTTTGACACAAATTGAGGATGTAGTTTAGTGGAAAGCAGGCAGCATAAGTATAGGAGGAGACTGATTCTAATTAGATATTTTTTTTCTTATTTCTTGATATCTATTTTATATGTTGGACATTTTTTATGTCTAGTTGTTTAAATATGTTATTAAACTATTTTGCTGAATGTTAAACAGTTTGTTTGTATTAAATGTTTGAATGATTATGATATTTGTATATTTTTATGTAGGGTTGTTGTGTTGTAGAAATCATAAACATAAGAGGGAGTGTTTTTTATTTTTTTTTGCTATAGGTTTCACAAAATTTTTTGGCTGGAAATGGAGATACGATGAAATGTATCAAATTTTCATCGAAAAGTTAACGTCAGAATTTTCAGCGGGTAATCCGTAGGACTAATCTGCCGGTTTATGTTCGACGAATAAACTACATATACTAATGATTAAAAGATGATGTATTATACTATTATATTATGCCGGTCACCAATTATTCTCCTCTCCCAGTATCTGAAAAGTTCTTCGACAACAAGTGAAATGTCTGGCAGAGGAAAGGGAGGCAAGGGTTTGGGAAAGGGCGGTGCGAAGCGCCACCGCAAGGTTCTCCGAGACAATATCCAGGGAATCACGAAGTCGGCGATCCGGTGGCCGGTAAGGTGTGGCGGCGTCAAGCAGATCAGTGGTTTGATCTACGAGGAGACCCGCGACGTTCTGAAGATCTTTCTTGAGAATGTTATTCATGATGCCGTCACCTATACGGAGCATGCTCGCCGGAAGACTGTCACAGCCATGGACGTAGTCTATGCACTCAAGCGCCAGGGGCGTACCCTTTATGGCTTTGGCGGGTAAAAAGCTTGGGTTTGTTGTCGGGGTTTGGGTTATTCGGATGTGTAGTTTTTTACTACTTTAATGTACTAAGTTGTTTGGCTTTATCTCAGAATCTGATTTCACCGTTTAATGATAATGTATTTTGATCTATGAATATGTGTTGTGAAGCGCAAAAAAAATATATTATGCCGGTAAGCCTGCCAGAAATATTTTTGATGAAAATTTTCTCCAAAAATAAGTTTTCGACGCATGTTTCGCTGTTGAGTGAAGTTGCGCCAAAAATCTACCAAAAAAGTAAATTTTTTGGTGAATTCTTCAATTTTCGGCCGCTAGTAATGCATGATTTTCCTACAGTAAGAGTGCACATTTTAGATGTCTTTGGTCTATTATTCAGAGTGACGATGAAATAGATGAGCGACTAAGCCATTAATAAGAGTACACATTCTTTGAGCAGATCTGCCAGCAAACTTTAGAACTGACCAAAGAAAGCTTCTCCTTTGGCCTCATCACCTCTATTACAATTATCTTCAGAGATGTCAAGTATGCGGGAAAATTGCAACCCATGACCTTTCATGCAAAGACAAACACATAATTAGAATGAGATGAAGACTTCGCCTCATCAAGACAAGTGAGTCACTTACCATAGAAAGTCCTATAAAATTTTTGATAGGTGATGTGGTGTTGAACAATCAACAGTTAACTCTTCACAAACTCCAGTACCGACTCCTCTTCAGAATATAATTCTAGAAGGATAAACTTCTTTTTCTTTAGTGCTAATTGAGAAATCAACACCTTCTATCTGGTTGCACACAAAATAACGAAAAACTTCATCTTCCAATCTCACATGTTATTCGTCAAGCCTACTGTATTGTCAAATGCATGCAAAAATTGGATGAAGCATTTTTGGGATGCCTTCATCGTGAAAAGATTCTCGAATAAGTTAAATGATTATGATAAATCTCGTTCCCATAGAAAAGAAGAAAATGACATAACCACCACCACAAAGTTTGGCAAAAGTTAAGTAGGAATGACTTCATAAAAATTCGAGACTTTCTTTATCTCAGTTCATAGAGGGAATTGTAGCCCCAACATCAAGTGCTTTACGAGAAAGACCAATTCTCCATTTAGCATAGAGATAATTCGCTCGCCTTCCTTCGCCGATCTTACCATTTAGTTTTCATTATAAAAATAAAAACCTTGACAGACATACACATCGTACTCTTCCATAAGGATAATCCTAGACAAGTCCTCTCAAAGGAACCTACTCGCACACTTACACAAGCAAGACATGTTAACATAGGTATTCAACTACAAAGAAAATAAAAGAGATAAAGCAAATATCTCATCCTATGGCCCTACCTCTCTTATTTATCATCCAAACCTAGTATGTAGGATCAAAACATCCCAAATAAAATTGAATGCAAAAGATTAATCCCATTCCCTCTCATCATTACAAGATCCAAATAACCATATCGCACTTGCTCCCAACCGCCATAATGGCAATTCTCAAAATTTATGGAACACTTGTCATCTCATCCTATTTGACAAAAAAAAAAAAAAATCTTTTTGCAGGTCATTTCAAGAAGCCAACGATTTTATTCATGAAAGGGCAATCATGCCTGGGTTCGTAGATAAATATAATAAATGGAAAAAGAAAAACAAAATCATCCTATACGACGATCACACTGCACACGCTCTAACACATAATCCTTCACCATATTAAGTGTCAGTGCTCCCATCCTGTCAATATACTCCATAATATATTGAGCTCCTTGATAAAATCCCTCATGCTTAGTTTAACTTAGCATCAAACACCACTCGAATGCCATCAACTTTGTATGAATCCACATGACATCCATGTAATCATTCATTAAATTCATCGCACCTCTCAGATTACCATCACTCGCAACAGCAGCTCCCTCTCTATCGATATTGTGTTCACTCACATCCTTGGCCTTAACTGCTGATTCCAAGGCTAACAACATTTTAACAATTTCTTCCAATGAAATTTGCTATATGCGAAAGGCAAGGTCAAGGTACAAGGTATACGAAAAGGAATTCAGCATCTACTCGAGGTTCTTGTCCCCAGTCGGCTCCTCGACAACCACTTCGATAATCTTTTTAACATCAATGATAGTATCATTAACAACTACATTCTGCTATGGGGCACTCACTTCCATTAGAGCAGCTTCACCCTAGGGGTGTAAATAAGTCAAGTTTTAGCACTATCGAGCTCAGCTCATTAGTCGGAAAGCAAACTTGAAGTCGAGCTCGAGCTTGAGTCAAGCTCAAAATGTGAGCTCCAACTCGAGCTTGACCCAATGCAAACGAGCTCGAGCCGGTTTTTAATTTCTCGCCCAGTTTTTATTTTCCCACCCGGTTTTCATTTAGGAGAAAATAAAGCTGTAGCTATCTATAATGTAATAAATGTATATTGATTGATGGAATTTAAAAGGCTGCAGCTTTTAAGCCTCATTAACAAGCTCATTTAGAGAGAGAGAGAGAGAGAGAGAGAGAGAGAGATTGAGTAGGTTTTTTTTGTACTGTCATAGAGGTATTAGCATTTATTATTCAAGAGTGAGTGAGAGAGAGAGAGAGAGAGAGAGAGAGAGAGAGAGAGAGAGAGAGAGAGAGAGACATAGTAGAATATTTCAAAATAACGCTTTGAAAATTCTTGAAATACACGCAGGTTAGAATTTAAAATATAGGCAGGAGTGAGATTTATACATCATTTATTATTAATGTTTTTAAAATGTTTAAATGTAATAAAATTGAGATGGCTCACAAACTCACGAGCCGAGCTAGGCTCAAGCTCAAAACTTGAGCTCATTTACTAAAAGAGCTCGAGTTTGAGCTTGAGCTTGACTGGTGAGCTCGATCAGCTCGGCTCGCGATCCCATAAACAAATCGAGCTTGAGTCAGCTCGACTCACTTACACCCCTACTTCACCCACACACACTCGCATGTTCTCTAGAAGAAAGGAACGATTCTTCTCTTCATCCAAAGATCCTTCATATTCACCAATCATCCCTCCCGCCATTGGAAGAATGGGAGCGACCATCTCCTTCATCCTTATATGACTAGCAGTAAGATCATCCTCAATGACAACTAGATCCCCAACACTAGCACGTGTCTTCTTTAGTAGAGTACCAACAGTACGATCGATCAAATCTATTGATACTCGTGCCTCTTTTCCAACAATGTCCTTACTCGACATAATTTCTTCCACATACCAAATGCAGCTTGCACTCTCTTGAAAGCAACTTTATTGGAAGCTAGAACACCAAGAAGAGAGAAAAATGTATCTCGATGAATTTGTTCAAGGATAATAAGTTGGAAATAAAAAGTATCTCCTTGACTCGATGCCAGTATTTATAGAGAAACCTATTGACTAGATTATTAGGTCTCTAGAGATACATGAACCTCATAGAAGATTCAGGTAAGTAAATTTGTATTTACTCACTATCTTTTCTCTGATTTATGATTCATTTATCTAAAATTCTTGGCATTTGATGGACAAATGGCCAAATAAATAAGGGAATTAAATGTACATTCATGACTATTTGTGTAGGTACCATCTCATAGGTATCTTACATGTTACGTTTGGGTCACACAAAAGAAGAGTTTTCTCTTCTTCAAGACAGTCTGTTCAAATAACTCACTCAGGAGCTGGGAATGAGCTTATTATTGTAGCATAGCGGACCACATTCGCCACGTCCTCCAAGTAGTCGCCCTCCCTGACGGGGAAGACCACATAAGTTCCTCTCTTAGTCGAACCATTCTTTAATCTTCTTAGCCAAAGTCAATTCTTCTATGCCAGCCCTATCAAAAGTTAAGTTAAAGCACACATCTTGTTCACAAGACATCATTCATAATCGAATCATCATCGAGTTTAGATATATGTCTCAAATCATTACTCACCCTCTCTCAATCTAACGGGGCAATATCAGACCAACTTCCTACCCAACGTCGACTTGATCTCCATATTCCCATGGGTTAACCTTACCTACATCCTTTCTCATAATATTGCTTGTAAGAGATGTCATAATTAGGCAATGATAATTTAGACGCTGATTAAATTAAATTGAGTCAATGACTTCAATTTAGTCTTATGAGGTATGCAATATTTGTGATTAATTCTTAAAAAATAGTACTCGAATTTGCTAATTACATCCAATCCAACATCAAGAGTGGTGCAAATTCATCCAAATTAGCATTACAAGTAGCTTCCAAGAAACATGAATAATTGGTCTAAGTAGCCAAGTAGTTAACCGGCTTAAGGATACCAACCGTACTCTCATTAAATAAGTGGTCGCAGTACAAAAAATGAGTTATTTCTTGGCGGCATCTACTTATTAATCGTCCGATTAACAAAATATCCCTGAATTAATAAGCTACTTCTCCTCCGCTGATTTGATCCTGGATAAGCAGAGAGCAATCATCTCTCTCTATATTTCTCTTTGCTTCTTCCTGAGAATTTTCTAAGAAGAAGTTTGGGATCCGTTTTTTCTCCTCCTTCGTCTCTTTCTCTCTCCCATTCGCCAAGTTTGCTCTGACATTTGACCCAATGGGCTATCTTTCATGCCGAGCCGATTCCTCGATTGGCACCTGTCGCTCCATTTCCTCTTTCTCACCTATACTCCAATCGCATCGCAGTAAGCCTAAAAATGCCCACAGCTCTGGCGCGGCGGGGACTGACTATGCAGGCAACGACAACAAAGGAGATGTTGCTGAAAGCCTCGCAGGAGCCGCATCTCACTCCCATCGTCGCATCCGGAATTTCTCCTACAGGGAGTTGGAATCCGCCACCCAGAACTTCGCCGAGGCCGCCCTCCTCGGCCGCGGCAGCCACGGTACCGTGTACAAAGCTGTCCTCCGCTCCGGCAGATCCGTCGCCGTTAAACGCCCATCGCGCCGTCCAATCCCTTCTCCTGCCCACGAGGTCGACAACGAGATTGAAATCCTTTCCAATATCCAAAACCCCCGCCTTGTGAACCTCGTCGGCTTCACTCCTGCCGGCGGAAAGAAGGAACGGCTACTTGTTGTTGAGTTTATGCCGAATGGTACTCTCTACGATCTCCTCCACTCCAACCATCGCCCTCCAGGGTGGGCTCGCCGACTACGCCTCGCGTTCCAGACGGCGAAAGCCCTCCTCGCGCTTCACTCCTCCCATCCGCCGATTATCCACCGCGATGTGAAGTCGGCGAATGTCCTCCTCGACGATCGGTTCAATGCCCGGCTAGGTGATTTCGGTCTCGCTCTTCGAAGTGATGGAGATGAGAACGACGCCGGCGGATTCAACTCGTCTGTCCGGTCCACACCGCCTGCAGGGACTCTAGGGTACCTCGATCCCGGTTACATCACGCCGGAGAATCTGAGCACCAAGACCGACGTTTTCAGTTTTGGGATTCTTCTACTCGAGATCATCAGCGGCCGTAAGGCCATTGATGTCTCCTACTCCCCACCTTCAGTGGTGGAGTGGGCGGTGCCGCTCGTTAAGAAAGGGAAGGTCTTGGCGATCTTTGATCCTAGAATAGCTCCACCGAGACACCCATTGGCAAGACGGCAGCTTGTTTTTCTTGCTGCTAGTTGTGTTCGATCCTGCAGCGATCGGCGGCCAGCGATGGAGGAGATCGTAGAGCAACTCAAGGTTCTCAGTCGGACGGTGCCGGCTAGGGTTTGGACTGTGAGCACTCCATGCTCCGTTATCGATACAGAAAGTACGCTTGTGAAGCTCAAGCTTGACAGGCCAAAGGAAAGAGAAGAGATACCTGCGAGCGTAAAGAAAACCTCTTGTTCTTCTCTTTCCTCTTGCTCTTCTTCTCCTCCTCCCACCAATACTCTTCCTCCTTTGAAGATAGTTGGACCTCCTAGAAATGGTAGGGTGATGGGTGTTAGAAATTCGACTGACCTTCTGGTTCAGCCTGAAGATCTGCCTATTGGTGTAGTCAACATTGGCTTTAACCGAAGCAATGAATCACTTAACAGCAGATCTAGGAGATTGCTTGTTGCTCCTGCTACGTATGATGATGAGGGGATATTGAAAGTGAGAAGAAACCAAACAGTAAGGGCTGTAGAATTAGAGAAAAAATTAAGATTGGATGGAACCAAGAGTGTGGGTGACCAGATTACAAGTAGAGCAGGCGAGGCTTTATGACTTTTGATCTGATAGTTCGAAGGCCATTTGATTTTTAATTCCTGTTGTTTGCTTAGATTATTTTTAGTGGTAGAAAACTTGGCTTCGTTTGTCAAATGAAAATGTGCAATTCAGATTTTAAATGTTAAATTTTTTTTGTGCATTTGGTCAGGGCAAAGGCTTATATATGAAAATGTTGATTATAGGGGTGTTCATGGCTGCTGTACAAATGCACGTTATTAATTTTATTTCCTTGTGTCAATATATATGTGCTTACAGTGATACTTTTTCTTGATTTTATCTAGCAGATCAAAACAACTCTTTCAGTAATTTTTTTATAAGCCTGAGGACCATTTGGATTTTTTTGTGTATTGCGAACATGGCCAACTTGTGGATTCATGGATTGTACCTATTTCATCTTCATCCAGAACTAATAATTTGCATTACCACTCATTTGCTGACTACACAAGAATTATAATTTGTATTGGACAATAACATTTTCTAATCCTTTATTCTCCTAGGATAATATTTATCTTGGCTTGTCATTTATTTATGTCATTCTTTTTTTAAGCAAGCCTTATCAAAACGTTGATGGTTGGAGTCTCTTGGAAAATCGAACATGCCTTTATTGAAATTTTTATATTGTAGCTATTGATTATTGTGGTAATCTCAGTAGAAAGGTTCATGAATTTTAGTCTTCGTTTGGGATGGCTTTCTTACTGCTTCTTAAAGCAGCTTTCTAGTATAAACATTTTAATTTTTAAACTAGAAAGTTGTTTTAAGAAGCAATAAAAAAGCCGTCCCAAATGAAGCCTTAGTCTATTATTTAGGCATATATCTGTATTAATTGTTTTAGTTGGTATAGCATTGATATCATTTTTCTTCTATGAAAGATTGTGAGACATTTTGTTAAAAACTCATCCTACCATTGAAAACTAGAGGAGCAGTCCTTGATTCTCTTTTTTCCTATCCTGAAGCTACTTACATTCTTTATTCTGAGTTGGTGGCCTCAGATATTTTCTTTTAATGTGGAATAGGAAAGCTGTTGAAGGAACACCGAGAATACTTTAAGACAGACATGGTTTTTCTTGTTCCAACCAGGGAAAATGTTATCGATCTATATATGCTGACCTTGCATTGGTTATGGAGATGAAATTTTAATTTCCTTGCCAATTATTTAACCAGTTTTCGACTCATTGCAGTAATGTGTAATATACCATATATTTGTATCTGGCAGTACCTCTCAATAAGGCTTCAGATTAGCTTAATAAAATTAATCTTAGCTTTTATAAGTTTGTTTTCTACCTTCATTTTCCATGCTGGTGACACTTCTCAGAAAAAGTTGAAAGAAGGAAGCTTCCTGGAATGCTTTATTGCATGGAAGCAAGTCACATGATATCCATTCATGTCAATATTTACTTCTGTGCTTGAATATGAGTTGGACTTTTTGGATTTTTCTTGTGGGCATGATAAGGATGGAGTGAACCTGTTAGGGTGATTTCATTCTGTTCAATTTGAGTCTTAAGGCTATATAGGTCTGCTATTTATTTATCACATCTAATTAGCTGATTAGCTCGGAATGCCACAGGTTTTAAGAATCTACTTGTTTCATTTCTTCTTGAGCTCTTCGTTCTCAGCTACCATATATTTAGATCATGTTATCCATCTCTTACAGTCACCAAGCAATGATTTTTTGAACATTATTGATCTATTTTACAAGCCTCATTACTTTGAAGAATCGAAGGAAACTTGTACAAGCAATTAAGCTGAACATTCCTTTTCTTGGTGGTTAATAATTTACATTGCAAGTGATGGTAGTTTTTGCACTCCTTAGGACTTCTCATTGCTTGAGGGTTCATGTTTCTTACCAACTAAATGATTGCTTCAAGGATAATGTTTTTATTAGTTTTTCTTGCTATTCTTCTCTTTACAGTCCTGAGTTTATTTCACCATTATTTTTTTTCGCTTCTAGTCTATAATCTGCTTATGTTATACCTGTTTGATGATCTTGATCATAACATCTCAAGCTGAATTAAAAGCACAGGGTTCAAATTAACAATAGAGTGACGAACATTGCGGTTGCGCTAAGCAGGAGGATGTTTGGTAGAGATCTTATTGGATGGAAGCAGATACAGGGAACATTGATCACCTTATTGACTGTAAGTTTTAGTTTAAGCTTTTGGAGTCTCATGGATCACCTTTTTGAAATTGAACAATGCATTACATATTTTCTCTTATTTACCCCCATATATTTTTGCTTCTTCAGAAGTACTCATCTCTAAACCATAACTATGAATTGCTTTATCATGATATGGCATATCTAATAGTATTGCATCATTTTTTAATATATCTAAAAGCTTATAATGATGGTAAAATTTACCATCTATTATTTTAGAACACTAAATTTAGTGAGCTTAACCCACCACAAGACAATGAATTTGGGTGTGGAGTGAGTGGTGTTTATCCCTCGCCTTGCAACTTTTGCTTTAGATTTTCTGTTCTTACTACTTCCTAATTTTATATTTGTATCAATAATGTTAGATTTTATATAGATATTTAACATGATTAGTCAAAAGGCTGTTTTTTTTTTTTTTTTTTTGTAATGGACGAAAACTTAATCTTTTCATAGGTGGTTGTGGCAAGTTTCTTTTTTGTTCCGACAATTTCTTTCTTTAGTAGTTGTCACAGGGAAATCTCTAGTAGTTATACTTTTTTTTTTTGGGAATTGAGTGTTTTTTTTTTAATTTCATCTCTTTGGTGTTTGTAGAGTGAAGTCTCTACCAGTCTCTGTCTTGGATTTAGATCTTCTAAATTATACTATTAAGAAGAATATACAATTTCAAAAATCTAACCATGTAAAATTCATTTTGGATAGTTAGGATTAAGATTTGTTTTTCCCAATAATCATTATACCCTTTCAAAATGAGTGATTGGGACATTGTAACTGCATACGAACCCTTTGCCTACATATAGCTCAACTATAGTATGGTCTTTCCTTAAAGTCTTATAGCTTCTCCTTTGTTTTTTTAAAGGATAAGAAATTATCCATTTTTTATTTAGGAGTTGTTTGGTTGGATTACATAAGAGTATAAAGTATTTCAAATGTAGGGGATTTGAAAATTTTGGTGTTTGGTTGTATGAAAAATGAATGTAAAATGAAGTAGAGTAAATTAAATATAGTGTAAACAATATTATTTCATTTTTTAGGTAAGCCAAACTGATGCAGGACTACGTATGAATGCAACCAATTAATTAGGAATTTGCACAACTCTTTTTTTTTTTTTAAATTTGCACAACTCTTGATTAGAATAACAGTGAAATAACCATTAGCATTTTAAAACAACGAATAAAACAATAAAGTGGTCACACCCGCTTAGGCTAAATCACATATCCAGAGGGTTGTAAAACTTTCAAAATAAATTAGTAAATCACTTTATGCCAAGTAGTAGTATCAATACAATCCTTAATCTAACAATAAAAATTTGTAAGCATAAAGGTGCACTCAAACCCTACGTTTACTAAGCTTAGCATGAGCAGTAGGAGTCGTCCTTCGTGACTACAATCAAATGCAAGAGAGAGTTAGATTCAAGAACGGTATTGAAAGGGGGGAAGAGAACCTCTCGTTAAGGAGCAGTGGAGGTCCTCCACTCAACGCCTTCGAAATGCTCGTCGATTGCTTCCACTAGGGTGTCCAGAATGCGCTCTAAGTAGTCTTGGACGGTGTGATCGATCCTTGTATTCACGTCGAACAAGGTTGATTGAAGAATAACGGTGAAGCCGTCCACGTCCCAGGTTAAGCCGTATTCAGTTTATGGATCCGCCATTCATGGAAGCTAGGGACAAATCTCCTTTCGTCTTGATAGTGTTCTTTGAATGTTGCCGAAGAGAAAGAAGTTTCTCTTGCAAGTGTAGAGGAAAGAGAGACAAGGCGAAAATCTGAAATAAGTTTCAGATTTTTGTAAAGGTGGAGTGTTGATGAGGGAGAAAGGAAATTGGAGAGAGAGGGGCAGCTAGGGAGAGAGGGGGCCGGCGGTATCAAGAGGGGTGCGGATGGGGAATTATTTCCTAACTCAAATATTTGATTTAGGAAATAATTAGGAATTGTGGGCTTTGGGAAAATTCGGCCAAGGAGGGAATTATGGATTAGAAATTATTTCCTAAGTGGGGAGTTGGGATTATGAAGTAATTTGAAAAGGATTTAATGAGGGAGGGCAAGGGGGGGGGGCATGCATGGGCAAGGGGCAATTAATGAGCAATTATGATTTCTTAATTTAGGTTTTGGGATTTAGGAAATATTTAATTTAAATACTCATGAATTCAAAATTCAAAATTAGATTTAAATTAGACACTTTCCTAAAATAGAATAACTAAATTAGGAAAGATTTTGAATTCAAATTTAAGTGAATTTGAATTTCAAAATTATCCCAATTAGTCCCAACCTAATTAGGAAACCAAAGGAGAAGGGAAAGTGGGGAGGAGGCCGGCGGCTAGGGGCCTTGGGGAAATTATAGAGCTTGGTTAGGGTGTGATGTTGGTCGGAGTTTGGAGGTGGAATTGGATGTGGCGAAGACGAATAAGGAGGTCGGAGGGGGAAAGACAAAAGAGAAAACCACGAACCCGGCTATCTCCAAGGTTGGTGTGTGATTCGATCTACCTCTCCTAGGGATCTCTCCAAAGTTCTCTCCAAAAACTCTAAAATGCTCTCAAACACAAGAGTGGGAAAACTTTCTCATAATCATTCATTACTCAGAAAATAGAACAGTGGGCTATAAATAACCTAATACAAGAGACTCAAGAAATAAAAGACTAAAAGGCCCTCGGGGCTTACATACGACACTCCTTCTCTAGAAGGGTACAACGGGAAATAAAGGACATGAAATAAAATAAACAAACTACACAAAATGAAAATAAAATAATAGATGACATAATCAAAAATACAATGAATCAATCGTGGCTGTAGATCGGCGACAACGTCTCTGGTAAACCTTCCATGATCTGATGTTCTCATCATTCTCCCAGGGTGGGAGAAAACTCGACTCCGTCGAGTAAGTGTCTATGGTGCTCTCGTAGATCTCTAGTGCATCTGGGTAAATCTGCTACAACTTCTCGTGATCTAGCCACGTTTCCTCTGACTCGGGTTTTCCTTTCCACCTGATCAAATACCTCCTTCGTCCACCTCTCATGGATATGATCTCATCACTTA